GCTTTTTATTAAACATGACTGTGGTCTTGAAACCTTTTTGCTTTTCTTCCTTTTTTTTATATTATTTGGAGGATGTGTCCTACATCTGTCCCTTTTTAGCCCAGATGAAATGGACCCTTCATTTTGTCCCCAATTATCATTTTCTATTATTTGGACTTTCCCTCACCAGCTTGTCTGCTGCGTCCTGCTGGATGAAAGAAGCTCTTTTATTCCTTAAAGCTCACTGAGTTTATCAGCCGTCATCCTTCCATATTTATCTCGTGCATCTTGAACATCTGATTTTTAGCTTTTGTGGTGGTGAACTTTGGTAATGTCACAACTTTCCCATCAGAGTTTCACTTCAAGTCTGTGACACTTTGAGTCCATGTCAAGGGTTGTCATACTGACGCTCATTTTCTCTTTTTATTGCCTGGTCTCTTTTCTTAGTAGTTATGACTTACCTCCTGATGACCATGGCCAGTTCCCAGATGGAATCAGTTCTCCTGCATCTCCTCTGATTCCCTAAAAAAACCCCATTAAATCAGTCATTTAGAAGCAGCAGTTTCACTCGTTGTTTTAATGCCTTGAGTATTAAGATCAGGAGCAACTGGATGAGACCGCAGGCAGGATGTGAAATGACACACTTCTTATTTTTGTCATGTTGAGTCATGTATTTGTTTCTTTCCATTTGTGTTTAGTTTCACAATGACACAGATTGGATTGGACTTAGGTCTTCAGAAATGATGATGTTGTTATTATTTTTAATGATCTTGGTATCATCATAGTACGGTAATGATGGCTGACATTTAGTTTTGTTTTGTGTCTGAGTTGACTGTAAACCAGTTTAAAGAATTACGAGTCAGCTGTAGTTTGACTCTGTACCTCAACTTTAAAGAATGGCTGAACACCAGGGAAGCTACAGAAGTACTTTACGAACACAACAAACTGTTTCTGACTTGTGATCAGAGTTTAAACCGTCTGAAACTTTCAGTAGCCTTGAAAATGTTCAAATCCGTTTATTTCAAACTAAATGAATCAATATGATGTCAAGTCTCATAAAAGCTCTTCAGGAATAAATTATTGAATAGATATGAGCTGGAGCAGTGACTTTCTGTTTTTATATTTGGTTGTTTCTTGGCTGATGGTCTTGGTTAATCTGTTTCCGTTATTTTTGTTGTTGTTTTGTCTAAAAACTGAATTTGTTTTGGCCAACAAGTCCAACATCATACACTGATTGATGAAAACATTTTTACTTTTCTGTGAATAATGCACAAAATTAAGAAGGGGTAGGACCAGAAAAGGTTTTAACTTCTTCCTATCCCTTTTTGAACATGAACTATATTATTTGAGTTATTTATTTGTTGCTATGGATCATGAGGATCCAGTTTGTTTTGTTTTTTTCCTTTTTATTTTGTGTTTGTATTTTCTTAACATGTTCAATAAATTGACTAATAATAAATAAAGCCTATGAAATATTCAAAGATATGGTTAACAATGCAGTTTCATTTGATGTGAATATTCTGGATGTCTTAATATATTCATGTTTTTAGAATCTCCTCTGAGACAGAATAAAGTTCTGTGGGCTTGAAAAATGTTCCTTTACGGTAAAATCCCGCAAACTGTCTAACTTGCAAACTCAACATGTATTGGCAACTTTTTGGTAATAGACCTTCATCAGGCAAATTAAGGTTTGCCTAACATTGCCACTGCTAGACAGTGTGTGGGAATTTACCTCTAAGTTTTTGAGCACATTGAACTCCTACGCATCCAACTTATAAAATGGATGTGCAAAAGTTTTTTCTATTTACAAAAATGTCCAATATTTGTACTTTTGTACAAATAGGGAAAATTGAGACTCAGATTAGAATTAAAGGCTTCTCTTGATAAATTCTTATCCAACAATCCTATTCATCAAAATGTCCCCTTTAATAGAAATAAAATCCAATATCAAAGAATAATATATCTTGTTTTTTAAATGTATTTTTTGTTATTTTTGCCTTTGAGGAACTTTCAGTTTGTGTTGATTTTGGCGCCCCCCTGTGGACAAAGCAGTATTATCTCTGCTGATTTATTTTATCCTATCCTGGATAGGTGATGTTTTCTGACAAATAATCTCAGCCTGCTTTTTTGGAACAGTTGAACATTATACGTGGGAATATTTGCTGTAGAAAGTTTGTTGTAGTGAATCTTTATGCTCATAGTCTTTTTTTTCTTAATTAGATATATAGAGGCATCAATAGAAACTCCTCACACCGGCTTAAACTATGACTGACGTATGAATTTTAGATTCACGTGTAGGTGTTGAGATGTTTTGAGCATTATAATGAAGTTTATTTTTTACCTTCTGACCATCTCTGCCTTTTGGTCCTTGATCACCAAGATCACCCTGAAAATAAAGAGATTATTAAGAAATCATTTAACATTTAAATGTCATGATTAATTAATAATGAACCATCTCTAATTGTTTACACAGCATTACCCTTGGTCCAGGTCTCCCATCTGCACCAGGAAAGCCCTTGAAAAACATACAAAAAAAGTTCATTATGCCTTTATAACATGTGATGGAGGACAGATTGTGGTTGAAATGTGCCTGTGCTTACCCGTGATCCTGGTATCCCCTTTATGCCAGTCTCTCCTTTGTTGTCCGCCTAAAATAAACCAGAGAACAAGGATTGATAAGCTGAAGTGATGAGGTTGAGGTGTTTTTTTTTAAATGTATGTAAATGTGAATAATCTTCTACAAATGTTCACATACCAGATCTCCTATTTCTCCTTTCTGACCTTTCTCCCCTTGAGGCCCAGTAGGTATCTAACAGAACCGACATGCAGGATGTTATTGGTATATATCACTGTAGACATGATTTTAAATTATAAATTAGATAGACTTTTTCTCATTTCATCACAGCAGGTTCACGAGTAAAGAGGAACATGTTTTGCAGAAGTACACACCGAAGCGGGCTGAATCAACGGATGAGTAGATGAGTTTCCTGGTTCCCCCGGTTGTCCGATGTCCCCCTGTGGACGTAAGTAGAAAGTACAACAAAAGTCATCCCTCTCATTCAGATAGATGCAAAAAAAAAAGCTCAATTATAAGTGACAATTGTAAAACAATTCAAACTTTGCTAAACTTACAGAAGTAATCGCAAAAAATACTTAAAATATTTGTTATGCAGAAAAACTTCCAGGGATGTGATGTGATATTTGGTAGATTATGAATACATTTAATGTGATTTCTAAAAAGCTTTTTTACTGCAGCTGGATTATTTAACAATACATCAAAAGAAGTTGTGGGGAGAATAAAAAAAAACAAGTTTGACACACAAATCTGTTATAATTTTTTTAATTATCATATTCCGACTCTACGATGTTGATTTTAAACGGAACAGATCATTTAGGACCTAAACACATTCAGGATTTCTCAGAACAGCTTAATTTTAAAACAAACAGAGTACACTTATAGATCTGAGCGTTCATGTATCACTCACCTGGCTCCCTTTAAGTCCCTTGAGCACTGTGGTCATGGTGCCCTAAACAGAGAAACAATACACGATTGATGCTGAATCTACCAATCAAACTCATTACTTCATGTTGTGTTTACACAGTTACACTATGTCTGATACAAATGACTGTTACCTTCGGTCCTCGGGGACCTGGAGGCCCTGGGGGACCCTAAAAGAAAACACAAACAGGATCCTGATAATCGTGATATTAAATGTAGTTATACTGAAGAAAAAAGGTATTAAAGAAATGGCACACACACACACACACACACACCACACACACACACACACACACACACACACACACACACACCACACACCTTTGGTCCTGCGATGCCTCTGTTACCCTGCCATCCTGAGTTTCCTTGTGGCCCCTGAGAGAAATCAAATGAAAGAGAGTAAATGGAAAAGATTTGAACAGAAAAGCTTTTAGGAAACAGGAAATACAACAATATGATATGAAACAACAGATAACTGGTCACAGATAGAAAGAAACCATTTGAACAGTGAGTCTTACAATTATACCGTTTCCCCCCGGTCTGCCTGGATCTCCCTGTGGAGAGAAATCAGAAACGATCAAGTCAGTGAGATTAATATTAAGTTGTTATAACAATATAATAATGATAATAACTTTGTTTATATAGCACCTTTAAAAACAAGTGTTTACAAAGTGCTGTGACAGACAGAGCAACACGACAACAGAACAGAGATCAACAGAGAGGGCAAAATTGTAAAAATGCAAATAACAGGAATAATATAGATTGAACAGGCAGGTATGGAGAGGCAGTTAAATACAATGAAGGAAAATTAGTTTAAAATCAACCAGGAGAGAACAAAATAAAAATTGAAGGAGAGTGGACAAAAGGAGTAGGAATTTAAAAAGACTAAGAGCAGTAAAGTGAAGACAGGAAGGGATACATTTAAAGGCTAAAACAGTTAAAGAAGAGAAAGATAAAAAAGGTTAAAAGCAATAAAATGAATAAAAGAAAGGGATAGATCTTTAAAGGAGAAATCACATAAAACAAGTCTATAAAAGTGAGTTTTAAGACACAATGTGAGGCTGTGAATGCAACTTTATGAAAACCAGGAGAACTTGTCCGCTCCTCTTTCTCACCCTGAAACGCTCCATGAACACACTCAGCTCCAGAGAATCTCCCTTCTCTCCCTTCCTGCCTGATTGTCCCTGAGAGGTGAAAACAAACATAAAAATACAGAATGACACAAATCAATGTGAAATAAAAAGTTAGTCATGGTTTATAGATCCCAAACTCTAACCTGATAACCAGGTAAGCCGTTATAACCCGGTTGCCCCGGTGAGCCTGAATCTCCATTTGTCCCGTTACAGCCGTCAGCGCCTGGTTTTCCTCTGGGGCCGGCTTGTCCCGGGTGTCCCTTCAGAGAGAGGCCGTTGAATCATTCAGAGGATCTCACAGGCAGGATCAACTCAACATACTGATTTTAATTTACTGAACTCACCGGAATGCCATCATTTCCAGAAAACCCCGGAACTCCGGTCATACCCTGTGGAGACACAAAAATCACACATTAACAACAAGAGGACAAACAAGGCTGATACGATTTTTATCACTCAGACAACAAAACCGAGGAATACTTTACCACATTTCCTTTAGGACCGATGTTGCCGCCATGTCCACGGTCACCTTTCTGCCCCTTCTGTCCCTGGATGCCTGCATCACCAGGTCGCCCTGAAGGCCCCTGGAAGCCCTGGTTGCCAAGAGGACCAGGGGGACCCTGAGATTGGATGTGGATTTAGAAAAATTATTTATTATTAATTATTATTTCCTCAGCTCACGGATGAAATACATGAAACAAACTGTCATATGCTGCACATCATGCATTTACAGTTTGGAGCAGAATAAAGAAGAAATCAGAAATCTGTTGATCTTTATTAGTCCTTAACATCATGAATTCTGAAAAGTTGATAAAATGCTAAGCTAACGTTGGTGATACAAAAACTAAATGATCTGAAAAATGAGAAGAGAAGATTAGATAGATATTTAAGAACCCAAGTATCACAACAATGCAAACAGAAGAAACAACAAAACCAGAGAACTATCAACCTAAAGCACTTCCTAAATTAAACTTGAGCATTTCTGCCGCCCTGTATTTTATGATTGCATCACAAGGGGGAGACAAACGTCTTTTTTTTCTAGAAACATCCTCTTCTTCTGCTCTTTACACCCATCTGGTGGTCAAACACTGTACTTAAAAATGTCCTCTTCAGAGAGAGCTGAAATCTACATCGCCCTGTGATTGACTGGCAACCAAGTCAGGGGTGTACCCCACCTCTCACCCAATGACAGCTGTGATTGGCTCCATCGAGATAATGGATGGCTGTATGAAATATACATATACATGTTAATACAAGTTATTCAAGTAAGAGAAGATGTTGTCACTTGAGATAAAGACAGTCATTGTTCCCTTTATAAAACTACAGATCAAACATGAAAACTCTAAAGAGTGAAGGGCTTTCTATAGAGGAATTTAATTGCTGTCTTTTTGAAACTGCAGATAGCTCAAATACCTGCAGGTTAAATATAACAGTTAATAGATTAAGACACTCAGAGTGATGAAAGAGAGAGGACAGGCAGGCAGAATCTGGAAGCAGCCGTTTCAGTTTGTTGTATGCTTCAGTTCTTCAAGTCTCTGCCTCATTTTTTAAAACATTTCATTTATCAACAAATATAAAGATAGATTTGTGTCGGTCTGCAGTAAAGCATGAGTCCTCTCTTTGCCGTCTTCTGTACCGCAGATGCTGTTGCAAGTCGACAAGAAAAAAAGGCAAGGACACAAGCATAAAGAAGTGTGTTAAAACGGGCTCAAACTGAAAGATTAGGACGAACAGATGCCCCCCCAAAACAGACCATATCTAAGAGTTCCTCAGAAACAGGATGTGTTTTTTAGAGGTACTGCCAATGAAAGGCGTCTGATCCAACCTTCACAACAGGGTCCTAAGACGCTGACTAGACTCTTTCTCCTCTGTCGCCCCCTGGTGGTGGAATGAACTTCCAAACTCCATGTGATCTGCAGAGTCCCTCTGCACCTTTAAGAAAAAGCTAAAGACCCAGCTCTTTCATGAATACCTACTAACTTAATGATGATGGTCTCCATATTATTGATGATGATGATGGTAATGACGATGGTTTTTGTTTGATAACGACGACTTATAAGATGGTTTCTATACTGATTAGAGCTCTCAAGAACTGCCCTCAATGTTGTGCTTTGCCTCTGGTCACTTCCTGTCAGCACCTGTGTGTCCAATCAGACTCAAAGCTGATCGTTTGCTCTTACTCACATTGTTCCCTTTTTTCTAGATCCTTGCTTGTGTTGTTCTTACTCTCTGATGTACGTCGCTTTGGAGAAAAGCGTCTGCTAAGTGAATTTTAGGTACTGGACATAGCCAGGGAGAACAGCTACAGAAGAGTCTCTGGAATAATTAATGAAAAAGTCCAAGGACAAAAGAAATAACAATAAAAAAAAACATGCAAGTGGAAAGACAAGATGGGAATGGGGTCAAGTATGCACGGCATGGGAGTTCATGGGGTCAGTAAGTGATGACCTCTGAGGTTTTAGGCTCTGACAGAGTTCCTGTGAGAACCAACAAACACAGAGATGTTGTTTGTCCCCACGCGGAAAGAAATGCTCTTGGCCTTGTTGTTTTAAGTGTCTCGAAGGAATGACTTAACACTGCAGGGAGCCAAAATAATGTCAGACAACAATTTAAACACGCATGCAGACAAATCCCGGGCAGATAAGTGTGAGATAAAAAAGGCCTCAGATGAACTCATATAACTGGTGCATGTATGTGTGTGTGCGTGGTGGAGCTTTGTCTACTGGAACAGAACAAGTGTGTTTTGTCTTCTGCTTCGTCTCGACCCTGCAGCTGCTGCATATAGAGCACACATCAGACACACAACAGTGCTGTCAAAACAACTCAAACTCCATGACGACCAGGCGGGAAGCTCTCATCAGGGTGAGCTCTGAATTTCTACATTCATACATAAAAACTGCAAGAAGAGTGGCCCAATCAACATTAATATGCTCAGACAGGAAACAATTTGCCACAATAGAGTCGCTATTCTGATTCTGCAGTACTTCATATAACAGAGAAAACAAAGTCAACCTTAAATAAATAGAAAGGCAGGAATCCCCACAAAAAGCCTTAAAAACTCCTTATAATATATAATAATGAAGCCCAGTTGACCGAGGGACCCATCTGTCAGACAGAGGACGTCTATCAGATTCACTGCACGGAACAGAGCTTTGAAATTGTCTGTAACCGAGCTCAACTTGTACGCTTTAAACATAACACTTTGACGTTTAGCTTGTAGAACATTTGCAAATATTAGCTTGATAAGATGAAAAAGCCTGACAAACTTTTCTGACTCTTGAGTAATGTAAAACAGTGTGTCCCGATGTGTCATCATTTCACCCCTAAGACCAGATCACAACAGAGACCTCTAATCCTTTTCATCCTTATTTATTCTTTGAATCAATAAAAAAAATACTCAAGAATCAAGATCATAGATTTTATTTGATCCTGCAGCCAGTGTCCTGAACAATCAAATTACATGTCCTCTTATGTTATGTTCATTTACAACACACTCAAGTATTGTAAATCATAATTTGTGTATAAAGCAAATTAATCAAGCAGACTTATTTTCTATAAAGACAAATGATTTGGCCAATTGAACAATTTTCATTATACTTAGAGGGAGTAACAGAGGGGAGGCTTAAAGATGGATGAATCTGTTTTATTGTAATCAAAGAGTCGTATATCTGAAATAATCTGTGTGTTTGTATGTTTATGTGCAGGTGTGTATGGAGGTGTGTATGAAGGTGTGTATGGAGGTGTGTATGGAGGTGTGTATAGAGGTGTGTATAGAGGTGTGTATGGAGGTGTGTATAGAGGTGTGTATAGAGGTGTGTATGGAGGTGTGTATGGAGGTGTGTATAGAGGTGTGTATAGAGGTGTGTATGGAGGTGTGTATGGCTGTCAATAGACATGAAAGGGCTGTATGGTTGTGTATCGTGCACTTTGGGTTCTTTTCTGTTGAATTGTTTTTAATTATTTTTGGTATTTTGCATCTGTTATATTCTTACTGTTGTTAATGTTTTTCTGTGTTTAGTTTGCTTTGTTTTTGCTGTTTGTCAAAGCACTTTGTAAACCTGTGTTTTTAAAAGGTGCTATATAAATAAAGTTATTATTATTATTATTATAAATAGACTGTAAAAGATCCTTGTCTGAAGTACTTCTATGGTACACTACTGGTTTGTATCTTTCTACATGACATTAAAACATTGCTGATAAATACCTTCTTCTTCTTTCTGACGTGTGTGTGTGTGTGTGTGTGTGTGTGTGTGTGTGTGTGTGTGTGAGTAGACTTAAATCATTAAGAGCTCAAAACTCTGCATCTACTGTTATCATTAAAAAAAAGAAAGTACCCCCCCGACCTAAAACATCACTTCTCAGTCTCAAAATTCTTTCAATGAAAAACGTTTCATTTTGTCAAACACCCCTCACCCCCAGCACACACACATTACACACTCCTACCTTTACTTTGAGGGCTACTTGTTATAATTGATTGACTGTTTCCATGACCTCTCTCCTGAGCTCACCCCCCCCACAAACACTTTAATTACCAGTCCTCCACAGCTTCACTTCCTTCACTCCCCTCTCTTATCTGCTGACTTCCACCCATCCAACTCTCCTCTTAACTTTCAGAGTGCTCCCACATCCTCCAGCTTCTCTTCTTCACCTCTCTTTTCTTGGTATTCTTAACCTTCCTGTCCCTGCTGGGTGGAGAGCGACAACAAGTAAACTAATAAATCAAGAGTGGAGGAAAGAAGTGCAGAATAAAGATGAAACCATTAGAGGCACAGAAACTTTTTAAATCTATCGTAGTACAGGGTTCCCACTCTTTTCCAGGACATTTTCGGCGATGACCGAGCTGGTATGACAGTCCGTGATCGTGCCACACCACACAAGGTTAACCACACCCACTGTGAGCTACCGCTACAAAGGTATGTTGATGTGCTGACCTCAAACTAGGGGTGCAGAAATGCAAAATGTTCTCTAATCGATGACTCTTCCCGTTGTTAAAGCGAGTACTCAAGTAATCGTTTTTTTTTTTTTTTCTGTGATACTTTTCCCCCACAGGAGGCCCCGCCCCCAACTATGACGCGATGCCGACTGTATCTATTGATTAATTTGAATCTTCAGGATTTTAATAATTTAGTAATAAGCCTACTTTGTATTAACGTTCAAATTAGGACATTTCTTACTTCAACAGACAACAAACCTCAAATAAACGATTAGTAAACAATCGGGTACCCGAGTACTCGTTTGCACCCCTACCTCAAACTGAGGAGAAAACACAACTCTACCTGATTACACAATTCACTCTCGATGTTTTTTCTCTTTTTGTGAAGGATCTTTTCGCTCCATCCTCTCATCTAAATTGTAAATAAATATCTGCTTTTGACACGAGGAGGAGGCGGAGCCATAACATTATCTATAGACTTCCATTCAATCTGCGTTGTGGATTAATGTAACAAATACTTTTATTAACGTGCGGCGATGAAAATGTCCAACCCTGTAGGAGAGTGTTGGAATAATTTTCCAGGACAACACGTGATTTTCCATATTTGACTTTTTCTCTAATTTTCCAGGATAACAATAAGTCAACTGTTATCCAGGTTTTCCAGGACGAGTAGGAACCCTGATAGTAAAATACTGAACTTGTGTTAACCCTGAAATCTTGATCGGAGGAAGCGCAGGTCTCTTCAAAGTCAAACAGACATGTTCTGGAATCCACTA